CGCCACCTATCTCCCAACGACGTCGAAGCAACTACTCGAGGGTGGAGCGGCGGGTGCACGATCACACGGCTACCATAATTATTGCAACCTCGAAGAAATAGAGATCGAGGTCGTTACAGCCACCTGGAGGCTTCGACATTTTTCGCGCAGACGAGATTCGCTGTTTTCATTAATTCCGACGGACATCCAATTAACTCCGAGGCACCGCGTAACTTTGCTGCCTGATTAATAAACGGACCTTCGAACTTCCTCCGCGACGATGCAGCGAATCTCGTTTGAAATTTATAGACACTGCCGGGATTCGATGTCTAACGAAGTTTACGAATATAGGAGTGAAATATCGGTTAGGCAGCTGGCGGAAAAACTGTGTGGGACCAGCCGCGGTTCCACGGAGGGACGATGAATCGTAGGATTCTGAATCCGTTGAATGAAGAACGCCCGGACACGTTCCGTTCGCGGTGAACGGCTGCGGCTGGTGCAATTTCAAGATGTACTCGTGGCGCGGTAGTGGGCGTAACACGGGTGAAACTGTCCCCACCCGGCGTTCGTGGCATCGTAAAGCGGGCGTTAAGCCCGAATATGAAGCTTTTTCGCAGGTATCAGCAGGAAATTCTGCAATGCGGTGGCCAAGAATGTGCTAACGACTCGGGAAGGAGGAAATTGAGGGCCGGCAAACCATCGTGCAACGTTATAACGATGATTTAGTGTCGCGTGTAATTACGTTTGAGCGAATACCTCCCCCGGGGGGTTAACCGTCGGACCTTTGACATATTTTTCTACTGCCGACGCGATTCCGTAATAAGCGGCTATCAGCAGCCACGATTTTTGGTTTCGTCCCTTTTTCCATCGCGCACGCGATAATCCCTTTAACTCTGACAGTTTCTATCTTGCTGAAATATCTCGCCGGGGGGAGGGTGAAGGGAAAGTGACTCGTTAAACGAGATCGCAAACGCGAGTTTCGAAACTGTTCGTTATCGGATTCGGCGAGAGCCGATAAATCGGACAGAGCTTTAATCAAAATAATTCTTCCATTCGACGATACCTTCGTTGATATTTCACGTTGTAGAATGAAAAAGATTGCTGCGATTTTCTCTCTGTGCGTTCTGTGTATGAAAGTTCGATCAGCTCTCGTTTAAAGAGGTAATTCGTGATAGACGAGAATCGAGATTTCGCATTCTGATTAGAACAGTTTGTAATAAATAATCCGTGAAAGATGAACCGGATCCGAGCTTAAACAGCGTGAACGTAGAAACAGATTTGTCACGCCTAACTAAATCCTGTCGACAAGCTCGCAATCGGCAACGCCAGAAGTCGCGAGGTCTGATTGCCGAGATCGCTTGCCAACTTTTCTACGGTTGCCCATCCGCCGTCAGTCGACGTTGGAACTGTCCCATTTTGATCCACCGCCAAAACCGAACCGAACAGATTCAGTTAAACGCGTTAAGTACCGTGCGTGAATTAATCGCTCGAACGGTAAACGTATTAAACGGTAACTTGCTAATTTTCCAGCGTTATATTTATACTCCGGGAAGTTTCAGTTTTCGTGTTCAGATTCACAACGCAAAGTTCCGGCGTTCCTCAAACAGGAATCTTAAATTTCTCTTAAGCGCGCTCGTAAACTTCGACTTCTTGGCGGTGGCCACAAGTTCCGCGCTTCGTTAATGTTTACATTATCTCACCGCGAAGTTATAACCGAACCGCCATCCCTGATAGAGTTCTTGCCATTTTCTTTTTTTTTTTTCCCCACTTTATACTCCTACCTCCCGTTGAAAGTTTCCAGCCGGAAGACGAGCATCCGCTCCGCTCCGTGGAACAAATAAAAGCGTCGTTCTGAAACAACAACGGAAGGAAAAATCTGAACGTCTTTCCATCCGATGTCGTCTGTCCCGAATTCTCATTCTCTCGCGAGAAAAAGAGTCAAACACGAGCCGCATGAATTCGTTGAACACTTCGGGAATCTCGATGGAAGTCGAAAAGGAGTGTCTGTCTTCGCAATTTCCACGTCTGACCATATACAGTCTTGTACTACTTGCGATTAACCCCTTGAACGGAAATGACGAGTCCAGCTCGTTATAAACTTTCCTCTTTTTCAAGTGCTGACTGAAAATAAATTGTCGTTCAAGGGTTTTGATTTTTTTGTTATTTTTTGATAAAATTTTGAAATTGAAGTTAAACAGCGAGTGGAAATTTTCCTCGTTGGACTCGATGATTCGTATTTTGGTCTCATCGCTCGCGATGCTAATTTGTATTTAAGCCCGTTTCTGTTGAGCATGATTTCATCGAATACATTAACGCGATAACACCTGCACCTTATTCCCCGGCCTGGACGCAGGACACCGCCTCTTTAAGCACTTGATCCACTAAATCCGAATTCGTGACTATACATCAACCCAGTGGAACTTCTGTTGAAGATACTTGAGCCGAAAAACGGGTCAGGGACTTGGTGCTTTAAGCGCTGCCAGCACAATTGGGCCGTCCAAGGATTACCATTTACCTCTTTAATTACAGAATTAAAGCGGATGGGAGATTCTTTCTTCCCGGGATCAACAGGGACCACCGTTCGTCATTCGTTGCGCTTTTTCTCCTTTAAATTCGTACCTCGCTTGAGACTCGTAAATACATTCATGCTTCCTATGTTCTCTGATGAAATTCTGTTAACACAATGACAACCGTAAAAAGTTATTTAATGATTCAACAAAAGGATCAAACATTCTCGTATCTCTTAGAAAGGAAATTTATTTTATTCTAAATGTATACAAAATTGAAATAAAAGCTTGTGAATCCACAGAGATAATGAAATCTTCAAACTCGGAGCACTTTTTCTCTTTTAAATTCGTACCTCGCCTAATGCATTCATGCTTGCTACGTTCTGTGATAAGATTCTGTTAACACGATGACAACCGTAAGAAATTATCTAATGATTTAACAAAGGTATCAAACGTTTGCAAGCCTTGACATTTTAAAAAACAGCCACTGATTCCTTTTATTCTGAATATATACAAAATTGAAATAAAACGTGAACACACGCGGCGGAAATAAATCTGTTTGGAAATCGCAAAGGCTAACAAACGGAGATAGGGAAGATAGGAACCGACAGTGTATATTTGTACACACGATAACCGGTGATAACTGTTACTGGCGATTATTTGTCGGGTCTGGAAAATATTTTGCCGCCCGGGGAGGCGCGATTCATCAAACCGTTTGAAAATCAAGCGTCGCGAAATTTAACATTTATCCCCTGTCCGGCAATAAATCTCGCGAGGTCGTCCGCTCGAATAATATGCAGCCGCGGCTCCCCATTATCGCCGCGGAATATTGGGATCGATGGTTTTTTGAATCGACGCTCCGCGTCATAGACTCCGGTTGATTGCTCCCGTCGATTAAATTCCGCTCCGGCGAAAATCCGGGCCGACGTAGAATTCAATTTTTTTTTTTCCCCACCGGTTACGAGATAACCGCACGCGTCCTCCTTTTGAAAAATTACGCTCACCGAAAAGGGGATGAAAATTCATCCCTCAACGGTGTCCGCCGACTGTATTCCTTATCTGTTCAACCATACCGACACAATTGCTGCGTGCAGAAAATTGTATAACCACGTAGAGCGATATTTTTATATTCCATATGCTCGGGACATTGACATAATCAATCCGTTGCGAACGGGCGATATTAAAAGATCTTCCGACCGAGAACACTTTATATTTGATCTGTGGCAATAAGTGTCGCGGGATGAAAAGAAGCTCCGTCTCGTATGCAGAGATATAGGAAAGTTCTCGATAGTGAATTATGCCGCGATCGTGTCTCGAATCCCGGCTGAATTCGCATTCTGGATTCCGTGGCCGTGTTCTTCGGGGTCCGTGGCCGGACTGGGAACACGCGAACAAGGTGCACGTCCCAGCTCGCAACGTAATTCACTTTCGATTCGCTACTTGTTGCGTTAATTTTGCCGTCGCGGACCCGTCCATTCCCGGAAACGTTAACGAGCATCGACAACGGGAAGCTCGGTTTCCTATCGCGACCGCCGAGCTTAGAAACCGATCTGTATGCCTGCCAATTTCATGAACAGACGTTCCATGGACAATCCGTTACTTTCGAACAATCACGTAAAATTTAGTGACGTACGACGATGGGAATTAAATTAGTATGAAAAGTATGAAAATTATAAATCAGTCTGTGCATTGATAAATAGACGTTCATCTACAATTCCTTAGTCTTAATAAATAAATATATGAAATGAATAATTATATGAAATTTCGTATATTTTACCCGAATAACGTACAACAATCAGAGTTAAATTAATGTAAAAAATGTGAAGATTATGAGGATAGCAAGATGATGAAGTAAAACGTATTCATAAAATTCAGGAAATTCTATTTTATAGGGTCTCCTGCACCCAAGATATTCTTTTTTATTCCTAGTGTGTTTTATATTTAGAACATGCAGCAAATTTCTGAAAGCTCGTAATTCTGTACGCGAGATGTGAAAACGGGAATTAAATGCGATAAAGAGATCTGAAAATCGTAATAAAGGTCTACAAATGAATGTGCAGAATGTTCTCTTTCATTGCCCGAATTTTCTAACTCCGGGTTATTAAAGCCTATTTATTCAAAAGTTCTATGTTTAATTTGTATTAGTATTTAGTATTTTAGTATTTATTTATAGAATACAGATAAAATACAATTGTAATCCTGTAGAGTTAAATCTAATTACCTGTACATAGACTGGTACATAAAGTATATAATATATTAATTTAAAACTAAAACTAAAAACTACTTAATACTAAACAATCTGCTTATTGATTAAATTAAATTAGTGTGTAAACAGCAATTTACGTTTTTGTTTGAAGGAAGTATTTTAAAATTTATTTATACCAGAAAAAGTACAATCGTAATTCTGTAAAGGTAAATCTAATTACCTGTACACAGACTGGTACATAAAGTATATAATATAATAATTAAAAACTACTTAATACTAAACAATCTGTTTATTGATTGAATCAGATTAGTGTATAAACAACAATTTACGTTTTTGCTTGAAGGAATCCAAACGTGCTCGATCACCACGTTCGGAACGACACGAACCTGCTCCTCAGCCGTGAGAAGAACCGTTTCCGGAGTTTGACGTGGGAACAGTACGACCCGGTGCACCAAAAGTACCTGGAGATCGGTGAGTCATTGAACGTACAAGCTCTTTCCTCTCGTCCCTAATTAACGGTCTGATTCCGACGAAGCGTAGACGCAGGGAAACGGAGCCTGGGCGAGTAACACCGCGCCCCAGCCGAATTAGCTCGAAATCAAGAGGTCGGAGGGCGCGTTTCATCGCGCACGGTGAAAAATGAAGTGGCGCTGGGCTCGGTTGTCCAGCCTCGAAAAGACGTTTCGCGAGGTCATTTTTATTTTCCGCGGCCCTCTCTCTCTCTCTCGAGGCGCACGGCAGATGACGTGAAAGGAACCCTTTGACCCGGAAAAGAATTTGCGGCCTTTTTCCCCGGCCCGTCTCTCCCCTCCCGATCTCTCTTCTTTTTTTTTTTTTTTTCCTCTCTTCTATCTCACGGCTTTCCGTCTGCTCCGCGCGTCGCGTTTTTTTATCGCGCCGCGTTACGACGAACGTCGGACGTAATTCTATTAGCATTTGAAGGCAGATGTGAAAGCATTAATGAAGCTAATTAGGAGTGTTTCATCCTCTTGCGATGCGCCGCGGCTAGGCGCGGCGGGCCCGGAAAGAAAGCGTCCGCGTGAAAATGTAGCGTGCTAATTGAAATAAAAAGTAGCGCTCGCCGGTAATTGAAGCGGGACGAGTGCGCCGGCTTCCCGCAAGCGAATGACCGGGAATATTCGTTTAATGAATTTCTTTAGAATCGCGTGTTCACCCGGCAAGATTCGTGTGAAAGGTGGATGCGTCGACACGTGTACAGGGCGCGAGCCTTTTTCAACCGGTCTGTACCATTTTGCCTCGCACTTCCGGGATCGAATTCTCCTGCGCTACACGTTTTCACGGACATCCTTCCATCGAATTCCCGGCCCTACGTGACTCGATAGAATTGATATAAAAAGGTGGAGGAACGCGTATTCGTATCGGATTCTTATTGTGTTCTTCCTGGACGAGCACGTCCTCACGCTTTCTCGGGTCCATTCACGGGATAAGAACCAGCACGGCTGATAGTGCTATCAATTTTTCTGTTTGCTCAAATTTTTACAGCTGCAAAAGGTCACGAGTGAAAATATTCGCTGTACCATTCACGAAAATCTCATGCAATTACAATTTTAATGTATAATCATTTTAACTTAACTTTGCACTCCGAACCATCCGGACGTTGCCAGCTACTCGGCGCCACTCTGTCGCAAAAATATACACTTACGAACTCATGTATTTCTCAAAAAGTTACACTGGCATAAGTTGATTCCCTGGAATCACTAATAAACTTTCATGTCCCCTCAGAGGGGACATCCGAGTGATACATTGGAATTACGCTGTCCCCTCAGAAGGGACAGAGGAGTGCAAAGGGTTAACAATCTTTCTGATTGACAGAGATGTACATCGACCATTTTGGGGATCCCTGATTTAATTTCCAGCACCCCTTTCAATAGATTAATTAAAATTATTGAATTTATTTAATCGTGAACCTGATAATTATGCAAACAGTTTTTCGTTAATCTCGAAAAAGACACTTTTTTTGAACGGTGTGAGTATTGGAACGATCGGGTGACATCGTATTCATCAGGGAACGATTAAACCGTGCGAGTTATCCGGGTCGAGATTAATATTAGTTCTGATCGATTCGCATATCCTGCCGGTAATAACGGGCCGATGTAATCGTCCTTGGCTGCCGCTGTATCGAGGCCGGACGACCGCCGTGAAATATTGAGCTGTCAAGTGTGTGCCAGGGGTGTATGATACTTGAGCGCGGGTAGAAACTCGGCGCGGCGCGCAACGTATCAGACGATCGTTTCATTAATGAGTGATCAATAGCGCGGGGCCTGGGCATAATCGTGCCGACTGGCTGCTTAACCGCAGCCGTTGCCGGCTATCGGACGGCGCGCACCGATGCCCTATCGCGTGTAATTTATTATTAGCGTTAGCCGTCACTCGAAATTCATTAGGCACTAATTAACAGAGGCCCCGGCTATTAATGATATTATCGAATTTTCGAGGCTCGTCAACGAGTGCCCAGAGCCGAGGCTTTATTATCGCCCGTTTGCGCAGCGCCAAACGGGCTTTGATCGTGCCGTCCCGACTTTCACTGCCCCGCACAAATTTACAGTCTAATTGGAAATTGTTATACAACATATTTCACCGTTCACGATTATGTATAAATACTTGGAATAACGAACACTCGAATTTCTAATTAAATATGTTACTGACGAATTTCGCTGAACAGAGGAGTCGATCGATCCTAGTAATCGAGACACGGGAAATACAGTCGAAACACTTGAGAACAAAGGGTCCGAGGTACGGGCTGGAAAAAGAGTCGGCACTCGACTCAGGCACAGGGAACCAGCCATTTCTCGTGTTCCCTGCTAAAAAGAGTATAGCACCCTCTCGATCAGGGACACGAGCCGTGAAACAAATCGGCTTCGAAACGATTCAACGACTGGTGGGTATCGTCTGAAGGATCTGTGGGCGCGGTCGGGACACAGGTAGACACGACGAGACACGTACGCCGTTCCTCTCGTAGGGGGTGGTGAAAAATCACGGCGGAGCGATAGCCCGCATTCCGCGTCCCTCGCGATCCGTGAAAAATGGGCCGTGAAAATGGACCGGAAAGAGGGGTGGAGCCCGGGCCGTGATTAATTTTTTTCCTTTGTCTCTTCTTATCTGGCCGGGCGGTTGCCTCGCCTCGGGCCGGCTTCGTTACCAGCCAGGAAGGGTGGAAACTACCCCCTTGCCACGGCCAACTTTGTTTTCGTACAGGTCGGACCGGGTAATTAATTTAGCTCGGTTCTCTACCAAGGAGGCGACCGCGTTGTTTGCCGTAGATGAACTGTTGCGACGAATACCGGTGTTTGGTTACGGTTAAATATATGCAGGAGAATGAACCTCGCGGGAAAGAAACCTCTCAGAATAACTCTCGCCTTTGTAGTTATTTTATCACAGTCTTCGTTCGCTGAGTATTTAATTTAAAGATTCATCCAACAAGAAGTATCATAAGCAATTATCTTTCCTTTAATAATTTAATCAAAACCAGCTATAAACAAATTTATTAAACGACGGAGCTCGTTAAATAAATTTTTCTCTGCATGTCGAATCAAATTTTATAATATTGATTTTAAATAACATTTCTTATTCTGATTAATTATTGTGCGAAGTACAATTTACTCCAGTTAAATAATACACGTTCGTCCTGGTAGAAAATAATTTTCTAAAGAATCTCAGTTGAAAATTGTACGAGGTAACGTTCCCATTCCCGTCGATAATTGAATGAAGCCGGCGGCTTAGCACGGAGCGTGTTAGCCAGTATAAATCTTCGTTCCGTGCGGCTGCCCCTTATCTTCGATACAAACACGTCCCGTTTCGCCATCGATTAAGGCACCGGCAGCATCCCCGTCGCTCGTGCACAGACAGGATCAACCGCAGGACTAAAACAACAGGCGGACGCCATAATTTACTTGTAGCACATGCTGCATCCTTCCCATCCGCTACCGGAACTCCTTTAACCAACACGAACTTCCAAAATTTTCACGTCTCAATTTTCAACAAACGAATTAACTATTTATTGCATTTTAAAATATACAATATAATTTCATGTGAAAATGATTTCGTTAATTAAAAGCTCGTATATGACAGCGTTGGGTGCAATGGGTGCTCTGTTCTCCCATCCCAGAGCAAGACACCGATAAGATCTAAGCTAGTTCTGACCGTTTGAACAGTTTGTCAGGCGATGTCGTTCCGCATTCGGGACCGCGTGCATCCAACCGTGCCCGGACACAAACACGCTGCCTCGAAACCGCAGTTACCGGTCTCCCGGGCGGGCGTCGCGTCGAGCACGCGATCGCGTAATGGGGGTGTCGTATACCGCAGCTGCGAACACCGGTTTCGCAAACTGTACGCGAGCGCATTCACCGCATCTGTACAGCCAGTGTTCGGTTCCATCGAAGAAGAGCAGCGGAAGAAAGACGTGCGACCGAGCTATTTCACGTTCGATGCACGCTCCTACCGCCAAACAGGATAAACGAGTTTCAAGAAAATTTAACGAAGTCTAGTGACGAAAAATGTGATAAGTTAGAAAAGCAATATTCCTTGTTAATCAATAATAATTTTCTAATCTCAAATGAGAGATACTAAAATGAATAATACGCTTAAAACATGTTGAACTAGCGAAATTATTTATAAAACGGTATGAGTCGGTTGAAATGATGAAAGCATAGAATATGTATTGAACAGTTTCAGGGTGTAGTTCGTAAAAGGAATCGCAAAACTGCGGCGACGGCACGTACGGTGGCTTGGTATATGCAAAGCTCTCAATGGTATTTTCTCGTGAAACATTCAGTTGCTCAAAGTGGAACTAAAATTTTTCCCAACGCGACCGTAAATATCGCGAGAAGTAATTCGTGTAGACCACAAACGAACCGATCTATTCCCTTTCCGCGAACGCAGGTCGCGAATAAATCACTTTTGCCTTAAGCTCCATGTGCGCTTAAATCATAGAATTCTAAACGATAGTGTACCAACCGCAGTAGTACAGATAAACGCATCGTCAACCCACTATAGAAAATTCCTATTTTATCATAAAACTAACATTGTTACACAATTTCTATATATTTAAAATTACTATAAATGAAAAGTTTGAGTGATTTAAATTATGGAATCCAAACCGAAAGTGTACGAAGCCCAGTAGTATAGATTAAACGCATGGTCAGCCCACTATAGAAAATTACTGTTAGAAGGAGATCCTGTCCCACTTGCAGAAGTACCATTATCACATAAATTCCACACGTTCCAAATTAGCGTGAGTTTAAAGTTTAAGTGAGTGGAATTGGTCTACGTCAGCCGAGAACAGAAAATTGCTTTTATCGTTCTGTAGTCGTATCAATGTCGATCAATTTTAGATAATTGTAACTGAAGAATTCGAGCGCCTTTTTATTTCGTACTATCGATTAAACGAAAGGAAGATAACGAAGAATCGATGTTTCTCGCTGACCACGAGTAAATCTCGAGGTTACGATAAA